TATTCCTTGAAAATTATTTTATAAGCCCAATTATATTTGTTTTCCATTATTTCTTTAATCACATTCAATATATATTTGTATTAGAAATGGAATTAAAATCCAAATATTTTTGGTATTAAAAAAATAAAATTATATATTAATTATTAAATTAATAATTTAACAATAAGAATTTTAAAAAATGGCAAGAAAAAACTTGAGGGGAAGAGAGAGAGAAAAAGTTAAGTAGAAGATAATAGAGATAGAGATTTAAAAAAATCTTGATCAGATTCCTGATTTAGAGTCAAGAAAAAATCAAGGAAATCTGAAAAATGCCTCGATTTTGACTCCGAATCCAGTAAAAATCAAGGTCCCGATCTCTAGTGAATAATTAAAGGGATCTAGTAATTTTAAATTTTTGAAGAAATAAAAATCCCCTTTTTGGATGTTTGACTAATTAAAAAAGATACAAAACATGAGCAAAAGAATAAACTGAAAAGAAGGCACAAATAAAAGATTAATTTTGTGTTTTGAAAGATTATGCTAAAAAAATTTTAAAAATCACTTTTATAAAATTTAACTAAGGCAAAAATATACTCCTGCATTTTTAAGGTTGTATAGCTGTTTTTGTAGTAGATGTTGTATTTGATGTTAATTTAGAATGAGTCATTTCATCAAACATTTTTGCTTTTGATTTAGACGATCCAAAACCACTCTGAAAATAAATAGATTTTTTAAAAGGTTTTAATTAACTTGAAATTTTTAAAAATCAAACAAACACTAATTGTAACAAATTCAAAACAAATTGAAAAACATTCAAAAACAAAAATAAAAAAGCCCAACAATGTTTTTTCAAAGATTAAACATTCAAAAACAAAATACAGAAATTATAACCATGACAATGTTTTTCTAACATTAACAACAACAAATAATATACACAACAAATAAACACACCAACAAACAACAACAACAAAAAAAGCAACACAAACAATTTGTTTAAACAACAACCAAACAAACAACAACACAAACATCACAGAAAAGAAAATCCTCAAACAACAACAACAAACAATTTGTTTGTCTAAACATCAACATGCACACACACACAAACAAAACAACAGATTCAAACCTATTTTTAGTCACTTTTAAAGGTAATCTTTTTTTGGTCATCCCTCTCACAATCAAAATTTTTTAAGACCGCAAGCCGAATTTGACTAGAGTCCAAATTAAATTTTAAAAACTTTTTATAAAATCACAAACCTTTCTCAAAGTTGAATGTTTATCAAAACACCCCGTTGCTGCAACTTTTTGTGCAAATAATTTATCTTGCTCAGTTTCCATACCTTCTTTTTTAAGAGCTTCTAATTCCAAACGAAAATCTAATAAGAATTAAATATATAAATCATTCAAAAAATAAAAAACCTGCAAGTTTTTCACGTAATGAATGGTCCTTTGCTTGCCAGTCACCTCTATAAAATAATTATTTTTGTTAAAAAAATTTTTAATGAAAAATCCAAAACCTTGATTGCTCTAATTCTGCATATGTAGAAGCTCTGAAAAATTAAAAAAAATATTTTAAAATAAAAATTAGAGTTATCAGTCGTCAACAACCCCAATAAAAATTTAATTTACATTATATGTTGAAGTTCATTACTAATTGTTTGTCTCTGTTGTTCTGTAGCTATTAAAGAAGCAAAAACACCTCCATTCCCATTATTATTGTTGTTAATTCCATTAAAATCTTCAACATTTTGTTTCTGTTGGTGTTTTCTTTGTTGTGACGATAAAGACATTTTTGTAAATAATTTGTTGTTATTTTGTGTTGAAGGAGGATTTGTTGACGGGAGTGGTGGTGGGGGTTGTGGTGGAAGTAATAAAGCATTTCCTCCTCCTCCATTTATTCCATTAATTAAAGGAAATTGTTGTTGTTGTAAATGTTCAATTATATTTCCTTCATCAACACCTTCATCAGTTTCAACTGTTGTTTCTTCTTCCAATGATGAAGAATTTGTAGCTATATGTTTAACAGAATTGTTGCTACAAGGATTGGATCGGCGTAGTTGTTCATGATATGGCGGAGGCTTAAAAATAATAACGGTTAAAGCTTAAAAGTGATAAGGTGGAGACTTAACAATGATAACGTGGAAGAGTAATAAGATTGGGGCTTAACAATTAAAAAGCAGTGGCTCAACACCGATAAGCTGGAGGCTTAAAAATGAAAAATAATAACGTGAAGTAATGAATGATAAGGTGGCGGCTTAGCATTGATAAGTTGGAGGCTTACTTGTCAACAAGAGCCTATCAATATAAGCTGTGGGCACTGATAAGGCGGGGGCTTTAAAAAATTAAATTTTGCCTGTGTCATCGGAATGATTCCATTACTGCTGTTGCTGTTATTATTATTAAATTGTTGTTGCTGTTGAATCAATCGATTAGCAAGTAATTCAGCATCCTTATATTTTCTTTCTAAAGCCAATTTTCTTTCTTCTGCGCGTAATTGTGAATGTCTAATTCTTTGCATTTCTGCTTCAGCATCATTTGCACGCCTTGTCATTTCAAAAACTTCTTGTTCTGAAATTCTTGCACGTTCTGCTATTAATTGATGACTTTCTTCTGCATTCTTCATTACAATCTAAACAACAGAAATTTTGGAAAATTTTCAAAAAATTTAAAAGAGAACCTGCATCGTATTTAATTGTTCTGCCAAATGTCCCAATTCTGTTCTCAACTTATCCCTTTCTGATTCTGCCTGAACCCTTTGTTCACGCTCTCGTTGAAGACGAGTCTGTTCGGCTAATCTGCGCTGTCGCTGCCGAAAATTAAATGTTCAAAATGTTTGTTTAAGTTGTTTTAATCTTTGTTCCCATTATTCCCCCATATTCTCTAAAAAATTTCCTTACTCTTGTGCTTGAATCCTCATTTGTTGAACTTCAAGTAAATCTGGCTGTCGTCGTCTAAGATATAAATTATGTGTTCCTACACACAAATCCAAAAGTGATTGATTTATGCTCATATCCTCAGCTCTGAACCGAATTTTGCTTTTGTCTGCTGTACAAATTGTGAACTAAAAAAACGAGCAAAGTTAATTAAAAAATTAAAATAAAAATTCCAAACCATTTTGTTTTTAAAAGAAATGCATTTTATTTCTGTCCAAGGGAAGAATGGCCGAGGAGAAAGTTTATTATCTGGTTCGTATATTCCTATAAAAGTGATTCATTAATTGATATTCTTGTGTTATATGCCCCCAATTTTTATAGCCTCCATTTCCTTCTTCTTTCCTTCCTTTCTAATTTCTCTTTAAGATTACAAAATGGTCCGGAAAAGGTTTTACAATTTGTAAAATATATTTATTATATTCCGGAAAAAGTTTTACAATTTGTAAAATATATTTATTATATTCCGGAAAAAGTTTTACAATTTGTAAAATATATTTATTATATTCCGGAAAAAGTTTTACAATTTGTAAAATATATTTATTATATTCCGGAAAAAGTTTTACAATTTGTAAAATATATTTATTATATTCCGGAAAAAGTTTTACAATTTGTAAAATATATTTATTATATTCCGGAAAAAGTTTTACAATTTGTAAAATATATTTATTATATTCCGGAAAAAGTTTTACAATTTGTAAAATATATTTATTATATTCCGGAAAAAGTTTTACAATTTGTAAAATATATTTATTATATTCCGGAAAAGGTTTTACAATTTGTAAAATATATTTATTATATTCCGGAAAAAGTTTTACAATTTGTAAAATATATTTATTATATTCCGGAAAAAGTTTTACAATTTGTAAAATATATTTATTATATTCCGGAAAAGGTTTTACAATTTGTAAAATACGAAATGGAGCTATAAAAATGGGGGCATATAACACAAGAGTACCCATTAAATTCTAGAATTGATCCAAAAACAAACCCAATCCTTGCGCAGATACGCCTAACAGCAATTCGGTACCGCGTTGATTCTAAAAAATATTTTTTCTGAAGATATTTAAAAATACCCAACCAGAATTTTGTAAAATGAAGTCCCATACATATCCAATTCCTCAGCAATACATAAAAACTCCTCTTCGGCGTCCTCACGACTAAGTCCGCTGTTGTTAGCCCACCAATTGCCTTAAATCCAGAAATTCTATAAAAATAAAATTTTTTAAAACCAATTTTCTCGTGCCACATATCCGCACTCATATCATATTGTTGAATAACTGAAGGAGGAATTAATTTGGTCAAGTCCAACTCAATATTTTCATCGTTTTGGTAATCACCATACATTGCTTGTACTGCATATGATGCCAACAAAATTGCCTAGAAAATTTTCTGGAATTCAAGAAAAGTAAACAGAATAAACCGCTTCAGAAGGGCAATAAAGATCCATTGAAAGAATTGATTGGCGGATTTGAAGGAAGAAAAGATGCCTTTAAAAAATAAAAAATGTTTTGTCGAATTTATTTCAAACCTTGTCAAATCTTGAATCAATTCAGTCTTTACAGACTCTGGAAAAAACTTAACAAGAAAAAGGAAATGCAATGAACCATCTGATTGTTTAGGCATAGAATGATCTCTAACCTATCAAATAAAAATTAAATTTTAATTTAAAAAAAAACCTTTTTATCAAGTTGTAACCAACAAGTATAACCTTTCCTATTTGTAAAGCAAAGTCCAAAATACCAAACTTCTCGTAGTCCAATAATTTTACAGACTGTGTCAAATAAATCTTGTCCTAAAGCATCTCTGTCCATACTAATAGCATTCAAATCAGCTTCCATTGTAGACACCTTGACGCGTAATGGTTTGCTGTGTCCAGTTAACCAGTCAAGCATTTCGTTTTCTTTTTATAAAATTTTTTTTGAAATTAAATATTAGTCAATATAAGGCAATAATGTGAGTTCCATGTTTTTGAAAATTATAAAAAATATTTATTGATTGCTAGTAAAAAATAATAATTAATGATCAAAACAAAATTTATAGAAAATTAAAAAAAATTAATATTTATTTATAGATTAAATTATTAAAAATTGCACGAGTATGAAAATTATATTTTTGTAAAAACCGTATTAATTTTGTTAGGCACCTCTATTTTTTCAACTTTTTTCAACAAAAATCCTAGAAAAATTTTGAAATTGAAAACTATTTTCAGAATACAAAATTTTTTCTAAAAATTTTAAAACTCTCAAAAAATAGAGGCAATATATTTTTTTACATAAAAAAGGATTTTGCACATTATAAAAATTAGGAAAAAAAGGAATGTGTTTTTGTTTTGTTGTTGACTTTTGGACAAGGTGAAAAATGAAAAAAGAGAAAAAAAGAGGGTGGGTGATTGATGATAAAGGGGGTAAAAATATTTGATAAATATTTTTGTGTACTATAATAATATGATTTTTATTTTACCCCTCCCCACCCTCATAAAATTCTCCAGACTTTTTTTAGAAAATTAAATTTCTCAAGTATTTTCACATCAATCACACCCACACACACAAACACTCTCTTATAATAAATATCATTTAAATAACTGTTTCAGTTTCAGTTCGCAACAACAATTGATTATTATTGTCACGTTTTTCTATTAAATTGTTGTTGTCTTCATAATTATTATTAATATTTTTATTATTAACGGCGGTCATTACCTCTTCCTCACCTTTAGTATTCACATAACCTCCTTTCTTTTCATCCTTTTCAATATTACCAGAACCTTTGATGACACCAACAACATTCTTCTTTTCTTCTTCACCGTTCTTTTCATTTATATATTCCCCAAATTGATTTGTATATAAAGTTGTAGTATTAGAGTAAGGAAGTGTTGAGGGAAATAATTCTAAAAAAATAATTTATAAGAAGATAAAAAATGATTGGAGTTCTTTCTTCTGTTTTGTTCTCCCAAAATTTGTTATATGTATTCTCCCACATAATCGGAAAGTATTAAAAAATTTTTAAATGAAAACTAGGATGAGGGGGCTGTGTTTTGAGGGATGTTTTACGGAGATGATAGTTGGGGTTCTTTCTTGGTTTCTGCTAAAAGGACGGGGAAGGGAGACCACCCAAAAGCTATCCCCAGGGACGAGTACGAACCTTTAATAAAAACAAACTTTTAATAGTATCTCTCTTCCCTTCCACAACAGGTGTATAAAGTGTAGCATTTTCATCATCATCATTATCCTCTTCCTCATCCTCTTCTCCAAATTTTTCAATTTCTTCATCAAGGAATAAACCAAGCTTTTTAATTGGCATCAAATAATTATCTTCGTCAGTTAAAGAAAGTTTTGGTAAAGGTCCATCTTCATCACGAGACCAAGAAGAATGTGAACATTTTCGGCTACCACTTCCAAGTGGATCACTTTTATAACGAGAAGAAATTGTTGTAGCAACACTTCCATGACGATCCGGTTTTACACCACACTTGAAAAATTTTTAAAAAATTTTTTTCATTTTTAAAATTAAAATAAACGTTTCTGGGTGAAGGTGTTTTATTATTATTGTTCACTAGTTCAACAGTAGAAAAGAAACAGTCATCATCAGAAAGAATTGTTGTGTTTGTATTATTTGTATTTTCACGTTGAGGGCTGTTGGTGTTGATGACATCTTTTTTTTTGTTATTAAAAGATTAAAAAAAAAATTTTAAATTAAAAAACCTCGATTATTCAAGGAATTATTGCTATATTCAGCAGGATCTACAAATACAGGATCAGCAAAATCACTATCATGAAGTAAACGTGCAATCATTTCTCGTTGTCCAATACTTCCTATACGCGATTCCATTTGTTGTTGTTTTTGTTGATTTTCAATTAGACGATTTCTTCGTTCTTGAATGTAAATATGAGGAGCACGACAAAATTGTTCAAAGCGTTCTTTAATTTGTCTGAAACTTGGTCGCGATTCTGGATCAGGAAGCCAACCTTTTGAAGAAATATTTTTTTTTAATTTTGAATCTGGTCTAGTTTACGAGTCCAATGAAGACTTATAAATCCCAGAAAGTTGCTTGGACCCATAAAAACTTGATTGGACTACTAAACCATACCGGGCCAAAATTTTTAAATAAACTCACAATTAAGCAATTCCTGATACAATTCTTGACTGCAATTATTTGGTTGTTCTAATCTATAACCACATTCAAGTTTATCGACAAGTTCTCTAGCTAAACGTTCACGTGGTAACTTCAATTCTTTATAAGGACTACAAGCTCCAACAGTTAAAATTTCCCAACAAGTTATTCCAAATGACCAAACATCTGTCCGTTGATTAAAAATTGAATGCCTTAAACTTTCTGGTGCCAGCCATTTTACAGCAACTCTTCCTTCAATAATTACAGAATCATTAGGTCTTTGTAACATTGTTGCTAATCCAAAATCTGTAACTTCAACATGTAAAGCACTTTTTACCAAAACATTTCTAGCAGCTAAATCACGATGAACAATTGCACGTTTTGTTAAATATTCCATTGCTGAGGAGATCTTTTTTAAATTTTTTAAAAATTTTTGAAATTTTATACAAAAAAAAAACCTGATAGCAATATAGCATTAATTGTTTTGAACCAAGTTGAGAACTATATTGCTCAAAAAATTTTAGTAAAGAACCCAAAGGACGCAATAAAGTAACAATTTTAAGTCCTCCACCACCTCCTAGGCATATTCCAGCTACAGGAAGTAAATGTTCATGTTGGACAGAATGCATTATTCCTGCTTCTCTCAACATTTCTTTCTCGTTAAGGCGACTATCTAAAGCACTTATTGCCTAAAAAAATTTTCTAAAAAATTTTTAATTAAAAAATAAACCTTTATAGCTACAGGTATGTTCACTTTTACGCCAGGTGGACGCCATTTACCCTGAAAAATAATTTTTTGAGAAAATACAATTTATAAACAAACAGCATAAACAATTCCAAATGCTCCTTGACCAAGTACAGTTGATTTTCCAGGCAAAAAGTCCAATTCATTAACTTGAATAAGATTGAGACGACGCATGTTTGGACGTTGAGTAACTTTTAATGGATCCAATGGAGGAATTTCTATAAAAATTTTGAAATTTAAGAAAATATTTTTTAAATCTCTAAACCTGGCAAATGCATCTGCACTTCTTTCATATATTTTTTCTGATAAATTAGACAACGCCAAACCAAAAACTAAAAATACAAAAGGAAAATGAACCAAAATTTTACAAAAAACAAACTCCAATTAAAACTGCCAACAATATAATTGCCAAAAACACTCCTCCAACAATCTTTATTTGTTTCTGTCTTCGAGAACGTTCACGATCAATAAGTTGACAAATTCCTTCTTCATCAGCATATGGCAATTCTGGAGGGCATGCATTTAAACACTTAAAAGAATTTTTTGAGATTTTTTTTTAAAATTTTTAAAAACCGTAACAGTCCCATTTTTATCAACAATTCCACCATGAGCACATTTCTCACAATTTGAAGGCCCATCGTCATAACAAGACCGGTGAATATCACAAAATGGATGACAACGTCTACATTCTCCAATACCAGAAAGTGTTTCGTTGGGATATTTTAGTACATAAGAACCTCTAAAGTAAGCAAAAGAAAATAACAAAAACTAAAAAAAAATCTTCAAACTTTCCACAATCCATTGAACATTCTGTCGGACGATTATTATTAACAATAGCTGGTTCCAAACGCCAATAGGCACAATTACAAACTGGAGTACTCCCATCAGAAGCCATTTCTACTACGCCATCTCGAGTACAATTTTTACATTCTGGACGGCATTTACGACAAGACTAAGGGAAATATTAAAGAAAAATTTCCTAAAAATAAAAAAAACATACAAATTTAGTCAGAGAATTTGCCGGTTCCAAAGCAAGAAAATAATTTTCCCCTAGAGTATTTTTAAAGCCACAGACATCGCTTGAAGGTTCATTGCCCTTGAGACAACGCAACTTAAATTTTTTAAAATTTAATTAAAATTAAAATAATCAACAAACATTTCCAAGTTCATCCTTCAATCCATACAAACATTTATTGCAACCATTGTTACCAACAATGTCGCCAGGTCCAGTACATCCATCAAAACATGCTTCATGACACGGGCGACATTCAAATCCAAGAGAATATGTTGTTGAATTTGGGCAATATTGAACGCCTAGAAAACAAGAAACAAAAAAATTTTTTAAGAAAAAAATAAAATTAAAAAACATTTTTTAACTGCCCCAATTGTCCAACTTCCATCAGCAATTTGTTCTTTTGGAGTAGTCGTAGTTATAAATTCATTTTCGTCAAATTCATCAAAATAATATTCAATACTATTGCTTGTATTATTTATTGAATTTTGTAAAATCCAAATATGATAAGTTTTGCAAATAGAACATTGTGTAGGTAAAGGACCATGACATATTTTGCATTGATCATTACAAGGTTGACAAATTAGAGGTTTGGAATTGTCAACAAAATAGCTTTAAAAAATAATATTGAAAGAGAGAGATAAAAGTTTAGTTCCGAGCAGGCGTCTTCCTTAAAAAATTATAAAATAAAAATACCCTTGATCTGGACATTTATCCAAACATTCTTTTTCACGCAAATATTTTTTACATTTTACACATTGTTCTGGTCCAGGACCCCAACAACCAAATTCTTTTGCTGAAAAATTTAATTATACAAATTCTTAAGAATTTTATTTAAAAGAAACCTACCACAGTTTTGATCACATTGATGCTGATCTTAAAATAAAAAAAATTAAATTTTAAAAAGTAGCTAATTAAAAAATTTAATCAAAATGTCTATCCGACTTTTAGTCACAAGATATTTCGTCACTGGACATTTTGTCAAAAGACATTTTGCCACTATACAATTAGTACTCATTAAAAATCT